AATTATTTGAATATATATGAGTGCTTGTGTATAAATACACAAACAATACACATATGCTTTCAATTGTGTAATTTAAGTGATCTAAGTTGCTCTGTTTTGGAAGTTCAGTTAAAGCTAGAAATGTGTTTTGTAGTTTGGACGTGCTTTGTCTCTAGGGGCCACTGTATATATTTATATATAAATATATATAAATAAAACCACAGGGTTTTTTTTAAACACTAGTAATTCCTTTTGCGCATAATTTTATATTATTGTTAATAATAAATTAATTAAAGCAACAAAACGACCTGAAGAGCCGGTTCAGAGCCGAAAGAGCCGGTTCTCTAAAAAGAGCCGGAAATCCCATCACTATTGGACATTGGCTGCTTTCTCGCTCATTTTCAGTCCAGAACATTTAGCTGACCATATTCAGAAGAATGTCTTTTTGTTGTTGAAGCATTATTTCAATCTATGAAAAGAACCAAATATAACACAATTTGAAAGTTACAAAGTAAGAATTTTGCACAGACAAACAAGGTGATTTCCAACAAGCTAGAACTTGGCATATCTCAACACGTGTGCCCTTAAAAAAAACAATGAAACTGGACAAGTGGATGACAACAGAAAAAGTGTCGGGCTTAAAAAAAAAACTATGCAGAGCAGATGAACAGTATCTGAAAGTCACGTCACGAAGACGTAGGAACGAATGCAGCAAAGACCTGAGAGATCTGGCTCATCTACTGTTTACTGAAGCCTTATCCGAAATGGTCTCAGTGGATGTGAGGCTGTCAAGTTGTTTTATTGTTTTATTAAATTGCTGCGCCTATTTCTCAATTTCTGAGCAAAATATTAAGAAGGTGGCTCAAGACTTTTGGACAATACTGTAAAATAAATAAATGCATTCACGGGTTTGTCTTTTCTTGAATGGAAAGCAGTGAATTTACCGGCAGTTTGTCCAAATGTATTTGACTGCACATTGTTTCACAGTCAACATGTTGACTGCACACTCACAGTACACACATGCAGTACATGTCAGTGTAATTGGAATTTTCAGTGTGCGAGTTAGACGGGACATGCCTGACTGGGAAAAACTTTCTAGCTAACTAAAAAAATGGGTGTGCTTGATGGTTTTTGCTTTTTTTTAATCTTCAGGTCATACGGGGACTCGATTCACTGTCGAAAAGCTCTCCACAGAGCAGTTCAGTGCACCTCAGACTACCCGGAGCATGTATGTGAAGTCCTGCTCACCTTTGAGAGAGTGGAAGGTGAGCCTCAAACTAAAAATTATTATAAATTAATTATAAATCATTAATTTTAAGAAAAGGGAGAATTTGACACAGTGTGGCTTTATACTACACGTTCCCACCTACAGGTTCTCTGGAGGACTGGGACTTCGCCGTGCAGAAGACAGAGACCCGGCTGAACAGGATTAATGAACAGCGAGCGAAGGTAGGAGCTCTTGTCAGCAGTACTGCACCGGCCAGGTGCATCGTTTGGCTGCCTTTGGCTAATGTTACCATGTTCTGACCATCTGTTAGGCAGCTGAGAAAGAAGCCAACCTGGCTCGGCAAGAGGACGAGAGAGCTGAGCAGCGGCGGAAAGCCAAGGTAGAAAAGAAGGCTCAGAAGAAGGTCCAGAAGGGAACACGAGCTGGGGAGAAGAGGAAAGCAGAACAGGACGATTATCAAGATGAATGGAATGAGGACGCAGGTGAAATAGACTCCTTAGCTGATGGACTAATTATTTTTTTTTAGTCAAAACTAAGTGTGATTCTAACTTTTTGTTTCTCTGTGACATAACAAGGTCCTAAAAGGCACAGAGGAAACGCTGACCAACCCACAGATGAGTACATGGAGACAGAGACTGGACTCTTTGGAAAGGCCACGCCCCCTGGATATAAGCCTGCTCCGCCTGCTACTAAAAAAGCCCCACAAGGAGCAGCAGCAGCAGCTCCATCTGCCCACAGGCAGAACGAAGACAACCCGGAGCTTCGAAATGACAACAGCAGCGTGTTCGTCAGCAATCTGGCGTACACCCTTGAGGAGCCAGAGGCGAAACTCAGGACGCTGTTTGAGACCTGTGGTCCAATCAAGCAGATTCGCCCGATCTTTACTGGTAAAGGAAGCTTCAGAGGCTACGGTTATATACAGTTTGAATCCCCAGTGTCAGTTCCTGAAGCCCTGAAGCTGGACCGACGGGACGTGGAGGGCAGGCCCGTGTTTGTGTCACCCTGTGTCGACAAAAACAAAAATCCTGACTTTAAGGTAAGCGTGGCTCAGTTCCTGCATTTGTGTTGAACTTAGACGCCTCATCAAATATTGTGAAGCACTATTCATCAATTCAATTAGTTTTTCATCCCGCTTGGCTAACATGATTGGAGCATGCAGTGCAAAGTGATATCTTCACACTTATGTCCTTGTAGGTGTTTAAATACAACACGATGATGGAGAAACACAAAATTTTCATCTCTGGACTGCCGTTCTCGTGCACTAAGGAGCAGCTGGCGGAAATCTGCAAAAATCACGGCACCGTCAAAGAAGTTCGTTTGGTCACGTATCGCTCAGGAAAACCCAAGGTGAGGAATAAATAGCACAGCGGTGAGATGATCGAGCTAGTGATCGCTGCCTTCGACCCACACGCAGGGCGAAGTTGTTGGTTTGTTAACCCTCTTATGTTGTGTGGCTCTGCAGGGTCTGGCATATGTTGAGTTTGCAGATGAAACCCAGGCCTCTCAGGCAGTGCTGAAAATGGACGGCATAGAAGTGGAGGGCAACAAAATCTCTGTTGCTATAAGCAACCCTCCTCGCAGAAACACGATAGATAAGCCTGGGTCGAGCAGGCCCACGGGAGACGCGATGCCTCGCCAGGTGTACGGAGCGTAAGTTTCCCAAAATGTTTCTCCCACAAAAAGTTTGCATTTGCTCTTCCCTGATTCCCAGATCTATATTGGTAATAAAGACAGGAAACAAATTCAACTGTTTTCCTTTTTTTTTCCAGGAGAGGGAAAGGACGCACCCAGCTCTCCATGCTCCCTCGTTCGCTACACCGACAATCCGCGCCCGCCGGCAAAGTGGAGAACGGGAGCGCTGCGGACGGAGAGCCAGCCAGCGCAGCAGGAAATGCAGCCGGAGAGCCGAAGCAGTTGTCAAATTCAGACTTTGCCAAGATGCTCCTCAACATGTGAGAAGACAGGCAAGAGCGTGACGACCGCCTTCACACTGAAAGCCATCTTGTGTCCTTACAAATGGATGTCCTTGATTAATTTTTTTTTCTTTTTTGTAACCGGTTACCTGATGTCCCTTTAATCCCGGTCATGCTCTCACCATCCGTTCTGCGAGGTTGCCTTAAATCCCCATCACGAGCCCTTTTCAAAGAGCGTTTCGGATTGTTTTTGGTGGGTGTGTTTTGAAGATGGCAGCCAGGATGTTTTATTAAAAGTGTATCATATTTGTGTGTAAATATACTGTATCTAAAATTGTTGCAAAGTTTCCTCTTTTTGTTTTTCTCTTTTGTTGTTGTTGTTGTTGTGCACTGTAAGGGATTTTAACAGAAGCATATGGGAGAGTATTTTTTTAAATATTCAAAACAGCCAAACTTGTGAATGTTGTTTTAAATAGGTATATGCAAAAGTTTGGACGTGGTGTAATATAGTCTGTGTGTGTACATAATGTTGGATGTGCTAGTGATGACAAGACACTCTCCAGATGTTTTTAAGGAGCCGAAATAGTTTTATTTCTTGACCTTCTAGTACAGCTGATTCATTATTTTTTTATGTAACATCATCACTGAGTCACCGTCAACTACTAATGTCCAGTATTATTATGCTATAGAGACCTCTAAAGCTACCGTCAACAAAAAAACATGACCTTTTAGGACAGTGTGAAAGCTGCTGTCCTGCACAAATCTGTTTTAAGTAACCCTGCTTATATTTTTATTTGTTTCCATGCCTGGCCCGTCTGTTCAGGTGGAGAACGTCAGTCACGTTTAAAGAGGAACGAAGGGTACCTGCCTGAAATTGAAGAGGGTGCACATAAGCAGGAAGCTGGCAATTCTGAAGTGCTTTGATGGCAGGAAACACCTGGCTTCGCGAGCCTGTAGTCTTATCACTCAGAAAGAAGAAAGGTTTTGTCCTTCAAGACAGTTTTCAGTCATTAGTTTTGTCTACATTGGCAAATTTTTAATTGGCTTTCAGATTATTTGATGTTAACCCTTAGCGAAAATTACCACAGCAGATTATTTAGTAAAAAAGAGCCACTTGCAGCACTAACACTTAATATTGAAAGAAGACACCCATTAGTCTAGGGTTGTAAAAAAAAAAGAAAAAAAAGTGTGAATATAAACTCGAGCTGTTTTTATAAGCGCGGTTTGGTTTTCTTTAGAGTCGACGTCACTCTCTGGAAAAACAAAAGAGGATGGTCAGAATCTATGCAGTTCCCATTTCAGTAATCCCATGTTTCAGGGGGTCGATCAGCTGTCCACTTGTCTTGTTTTACACATTAATAAAATTCTGTTTGTGTACATGATACTCAGTAAACATGTTTTTTTTTTTTTTTAAAAAAAAAAGGTCAGCATAGTTTGTGATGAATCTAAAGTTTTCAAAACATGTAATACAAGCTGTATGTATTGCTCTCACCGCAGTGGCCTAATTTAAAAAAAAAAAGTTGAAGTTGTAGAAGTCACCTTCTGTTTTATGTCTATACTAAAAAGGTTGTATTATGTGCATTGCCGTTTGTATAATTTCTATAGTCAGTGTTTTACATTTGGAATAGAGGTAAATAATAAAAGGCTATTTTTTGTTTGTTTAATCTCAGTATTTATTTTTGTGCTTTTTCACTTTCATTCTTTGAAATCATGTCATGTTTCTTTTCCCTCCCTTCTTTTCTGGTCTGAAACTTGTTTTAATAAAGTCATACAAATCATGCCCGACTTTGCTCATTATAAACCACTTTTATTTTAAAATAAATAAGAAAAGACAGGAAAGTGCATTACAGTGTCTGGAGACATCTTTATGTCAAAGAACTAAATGTTCACCGTGCACATCCGCAGTTGAAATTGAAGATTCAAGTCCGACAGAAATCTTGTTTCCTCGTAATATGATGGAGAATTAAAACACCTAAACTCTCCCACAACACGACTTTTCATTGTGTAGGAAAATTAGGGTGTGGTAAAGCAAACCTGACACGACAAAAAGCAAATTTCAGTTCACCTTCCTGAAGCAGGCTGATGAATTCAGCAAGCACAGAATCCAAACTGTGAGGGGGGAATGATGGGTATGATGTGGACAAAGGAATTCACATTTTATGATGGAGCTCTGAAATGAAATGACATCTATGTTTGCATGCCAGTGTTGCCATGCTCCTGTATCCCTACCCTATGGTCAATTGTGGAATGGGATGGTCTGCTTGCAGTCGAAACAGGTCTGGTCCTGGCCTGCTCCCGGCAGCCCTACGGCGTGCTCCGTAGTAGAAATCAACAACGTGTCCAAAGTTATTTCTGTACATTTGGCTATAAAGCGGATGAAGGGCCGCACATCACCCTCGTTGGCTGTGTCCAGAGCGGCGTAGTATTCAGCCCGTTGTTCCTTGCGGATAGTAATTGGTGGGTATCTCGCTTGCATGAGCACGAGGTTCATGAGCAGCCGTGACGTACGTCCGTTGCCGTCAACAAATGGGTGTATATACACCAGTTTATAGTGGGCGAGTGCAGCGTATTCCACGGGGTGAAGCTGCAGCGCCTCGTCGGAGTTGAGCCACTGAACGAGCTCCTGCATGTGTCTCTGCAGGTCCCGAGGGTGAGGAGGGATGTGGTGGCCCACAAACACCTGATTGGTGCGCAGCCTCCCTCCCTCCACGGGGTCTACGTAGCCGAGCACCCGCCGGTGGATCTCCAGGATGTCGTTGACGGTGATGGCTCCTGATCTGGACAACAGCGTCGTGTTGATGTACTTCATGGCTGCATCCACCCCGATCGCCTCGTTCTGCTCCTGCAGGCTCTTTCCGGGGACGGCGTAACGCGTCTCAATGATATGACGAATCTCTGACAGCGTGAGCGTGCTGCCTTCGATGGCCACGGTGTGGTAGATGTGGTGGTAGTAGGTCTCCTCCATCACTCGGCGGAATGCAGAGTTCCCTTTAGGAATGGACATAAGCTGGCGCACTTTACTGTCGATGATGCTGAAGTAACGCTGATCAATCTCTTCCACCAGGGGAAGGGTCCGGTCTCGGCTAACCAGAGCTCTCTCGTTGCACGGTGAGATGGCCAGGGCCTTGGTGTACAGGTGATCTGCCTGGACGACATCCTTCTCCTCCTCTAAAATGGTCCCCAGCTCCGTAAGGGCATCCACGAAGTCTGGGTTCATGCTAAGTGCATGCACCAGCAGCTTGTGAGCCTTCTCCCTCTTCCCAAGTTTCTTCATCTCCTGAGCCAACTGCAGTGCAGCTTTGGCCTCCAGCTCCATCTCTGCAATCACGACATGATTGACAGGGTGAGCAGTGAAGATGCAGTAAAACAGCAGGTCATGTCATGACAAAATATGAATAAATAAATAAATAAATTAATTTAAAAAAAACGTTATTAGACTTGGATGAACTAGAATTTTCAACAAAATCAGAAATCATTCAGGGAACTAATATTCAACTTAAAACACTGAAGCCGTAAATTTGTTATTTTTACATTTAGTTGATGTGCTTCCTTTTTTCCCTTAACAGTTCGCTGGTCTTCACAGTTAGAAAACAGTGTGAAAATACATACAATTTGCTGAGGATTTGGAGAATTACAAGCTGACCTCTTCACAATGCCGTCATTCAGAAACCCCCAACATACAGGAAAAACCAATACGATCAGAGCTTGAAAGCGATAAAGGGAACGCAGTTTTCTCTATAAATTTGTTAAATTAAGCCCTAGATGAGTTCACACGGGCCTTCTTTCTCGACATATGGTTAATATTGTTCTGCATATGACACTAAGCTGACCTCCACAGTCAGTAAATAACGTGAGTGTACCTTTGGTCGGCTTGGGCCTCTGAGGCAGCAGATCAAGAGCAGTGAAGGGGACGGTGAGACTGGTGGACTGCACAGCTGGATGCTGCTGTGGACTTCCCCACAGCTGGCAGCGGAGCAGAGCGATGCCTCTCAGGGAGGCACAGCACTGATCCTCCACCCCAACCATGGGCATCAGGAGCGCCACGAGTGAGCCGAGGGCGATGCAAAGCAGCGGGCCCCATCCTCCTAGGACACGGGCGCTGTAGTAACTCCACGCCTTCACAGCAGCCATGAGGACCCCTGGTTAAATCCTCCATCTTCTGGTGTAATGCCCCCCATCTATTTTCACTCCAGCATGGAGACCCGAAAGGCGGCGAACAGGAGGAAAACGAGCAGCATGGCAGCTGCCGCGAGAGATCAACTAAGCGAGACAACTTTTAACGCCCGTAAGTTAGGAAGCAAGCTACCTTTAGCTACAAACGGAGGCTCTAAACCTTAAGCTAACTTAACGACCAAACGGCGGCTGGCTTTTTGTCAGAGTCGGAACAGCTGTACACATAATACACACATCACCAACTTCCTTAGGCTCAACGTTTGAACATCCTCGAATATCATTGGTCCGAAGTGTATTGAAGGGCAGAGCCGATTGGGTGAAAATACAGCAATACAACTCTCGTTTCGTAGCCGTCCCTGATTGGCTGAGTCATGGAAACCTTTTCCCCGAGTTTTACCTTTCAGGGAGAAGAGCGACATTATGTAATCAGTAGGTATCTAATGTAATCTAATTTATTTTTTAGTTATGGGGTCTTTTAAACATGAAAAAGAAGAAACAAATCCTATTTAAAGCCCCTCTATTGCCAAAGATTAAGGCTGTAGAGAAATCTTGAAACACAACTGGGTAATTATTTTGTAGTTATTTGAAAGCATTATATCAATTAGCGTTCATTTCTGTTTTCAGTGGGATCTCAAGCTACATGTTTAGAATCTCCACACAAATTAGATATTTAAAAATTCACAAAAGTTTATTTCTTTGCTGCAAAATAAGGGTTTAAAACGGTATATACTTCGACCATCGTTGTGGATCTCTCCCTTAATATTTTAGTGCCATCATGCTCTCTTATACAATCTCCTTTGCTTTGACCTGTAATCGAAGAAAAAAAAAAAACAACTCACTTCCATCCTTATCGGTGCCTCGTCCTCTCTTCAGAAGACCCAGAATCTATTAATATGTAAAAAAAATTTTTTACATTTTAAAAGCCAATGAAAGTGAAAGACTCACCTAATGCAGACCAAATCTACCTACAGGTTCAAACAGAGTAATTTCACAGATCATGTTTGCAGGATCTGGGTGGGCACAGCATTTTTCCACATTTAGAAAAATCATTTTTTTTTTAAGTAAGTAAGTTTAAGTATTTCACTGTCAAACTCTGAATATAGCTCATTCTGTTCAAATATGAAACCTTTTTTTTTTTTAAATTTCAGGTTATATTCATTCATGCAATTTTGCAGTGTTTGAGACTGAAGCCTTTATCAGGAGACATAAACACAACACAAGATCATTTTGATTTGACAAGTCAGGGTAAACAACATACAGTCCTGTGAAAAAGGAAGTTGTCAAAGCACTCTGTAACCATCATCATCATGGTGCATTCCTGTGAAACACTAAATACTCCCTATAATTTATGGGGTTGTAGAACCACTGTTAGCAGCAACAACCAATGTAATCATTTTCTGTATGACTTCATCAGTCTCTCACTTTGTTGTGGGTGAAATTTGTCTCATTCAATTTGTCTCATCCCACAGTGCTGCTTCAGTTCATTGAGGTTTGTGGTATTCGTTTATACACAGCTCTCTTAACCACCTAGTCTGGGCCATTGCAACATCTTGATTATTATTTTTTTCAGCCATTCTCTTGTATATTTGCTGCTGTGCCTGGGATCATTGTCCTGTTGCGTGATTTAGTATAAGCCAAGCTTTAGCTGTTTGACTGATGGCCTCACATCTTACTTTGGCTTCAAGGTATCCAGGTGCTGTGGCTGCAAAACAAACCCAAATCATCACCTCTCTACATAGCGAAACATCTCCTCTTTGGTCTCGTCTGTCTAAAGGACATTTGGGATGAATTTGCTTGGATGTTCCTGGGAAGATCATAGCCTCATGTTAACACACACCTAAATGCTCCAGAGCAAAAAAACAAACAATTCTCCTCTCCAAATTTGTAATGCCTACATATGTACCCACTTCATCAGGTCTTCTCATAATAAGCAGGCATATCAAGCAAAATGCAATCACCATGAGGAGATGTAAATCTAGTTTTCTCTGGTAATTACACTGTTTCTTTTTAGTCTAGCACCTGGATTTGCCCGTTTCAATCCCAAACCCGACTGCCAGCTCTTGCACTGCTTCTGGTCATAACAGGAAGCTACTTTCAATTCCTCCACCTGTGACCATAAACTGGGAGTAACTGGTTCTAGGAAATAAATAGACCAATATTTAAAAGACACACTTCACCTCCATTTGCCCTTCTTCTGCCAGCAGAATGTAAACTCCCTAACAAACAGATGAGGGCAGCATTGCTTTTTATGCAAACAACTCGGTCTCTGTCCAGCATATCCTCTGAAGACTGCAGCAGCGCTCTTGGCCTCAAAATCACTATGATCAGGATTCAAAGCCATTACTACCAAGTCTTTGAATATAACAAAAAAGGAACCCATGCTCGTATAAACCAAGAGTAACATCCTCATCCTCAGCTTCTTTCTCTAGTGACATTTTAGTAATCCTTCTCATCTGTTTATCTCTTTGTCCTTCACATCACTGCCATTCTATTAGGCTTTATATATGTCTTTTAAAGCTTAATGTGCATCCTCTGTTTATAGTAAAATGGCTTTTATAGAGATTACCACCTGCTGTGGACAGCTTGAGGTGCTGAGGATATATTTCTGGCTGCACGCCAACGCCAACACTATTAGGCATATCTTCAGCAGATGGCCATGGCGGGCTATCAGCTCTAAATAGCTGGTATTCACGCACAGCCTGTAACTCTGCAGCAACACACTCTCACCACAGGTATCTCAGGGGAGGTTATGAATTAGCAACCATTCTAAGGTCCGTCTGAAATCTGAGGTTTTGATTTGGTGCACTCTTTTCTGCAGCTGCACACTAACATCATTTCCCACCACAGAGCCTTTGTTGTTCTGACCCACAGCAATTTCGCCTTGGAGGATAATGGAGCTTGCTTGAGCTGCATTATTTCTTTACCTGTGTTATTCATGCAGACTTCTCAATGCAAATAGGAGGGTATAGTGGTAAAGGGTGTATTTATGTCGCCATGTCTTCTCTGAGAGTCTCACTGGAGAAAAGAGAGGAAGAAAGATAGAAAACTTGGGAAAATATTTAATCAGTATTCTCCCAGTGATGAGCTGTGATTGGTGCAAATACACCTGCTGGGGCACCTTTTTGTTTTTAAACTTAACTTTAACTGCACCAAATGTATTTTTGGTATTTGGCTCAAAAGAACCTGCCATCGATAATATGTGAAGTATGGCTGTGGAGACGCACACAAGGTCCCTCCGAGCACTTTTCACTCATGGTCAAATAGTGCATCGTGGCCAAAATCTAAGGTACTAAAGCACAATCATCACTAGAGCCAAAATCACAGCCTGCCTCAATCAGCCTTGGCAGCAATCAGCGAGGGTTAAGTGAAGCAGCTTCTGTAGTTATCTGACTTCAAAGTGAGCTTCTCAGAAGCACCACGCTGCTGAGGGTTCAGCTACTTTGTCTGTGGCTGCAGTTACCAGCTGCTTATTTCATATTCACTTACTTCAGAACTGCATATTGGTTTAACAGACATCGATGCAGCGACATAACTGGTGACACCTTGTGGTTTGTCAACTCCCTTTTTTGAGACCTAGATGGTGTTTTGGCCATCGCCTTTTTGGTTTTGAGGAATGAGACCTTACAAGCGAAGGGCGGGCCTCACTGAGAAAAAGGCACCCTGATATCTTCCTGTGTTTTTATATTTCATTGTTAGATTATTTAAGTATCGTCTTTGAAAGAAACATGCTACAGCGTAGAATAGAATAGTTATTATTTTTATCTTCTGTCCCTGTTAATGGACATCAGGTCCTGTTTTATTACAGAATAAAGTGATGTTATGGATATTGTTTCTTTTTTCTGTGAATTTCTGGACATTTTTAAATTTTATTTTTATGAACATTAAAACATTTAGATGAAGAGAACACTCTCCATTCTCCACATCTAACACTCAACTAAACCTGGGTTGTTAGGTAATGGATGTATGACAGAGGGTGGAAGACAGGATTTTTCTCAGCACGGTGCAAGTGGAGTAATACTTAGAGGGCCAGACAGTGGAGCAGGAAGGTGAAAGCCTAGAGGAGGACATTTCCAGCTTTTAAGAAGCCTAAGCTTGGAGAAAATGATGTCACCTAAGTGCATTATGGGTAAGCAGCATAGTGTAAACCAGGGTAATGAAGTGTTGGGATTTTGATTACTCAGCAGCCTGTGAAGGAAATCATCCGTCCATGGTGTCAGCAGAATGATGTGGCATGTTGCACTGTGCTTATGAGAGGACTCACCATCCAGAAGGGCTTGTTCCTTAAAAAATCTGTCCTGACTTATTGAATCGGCTATAACCTGGAACAACTAAATTTGCACCATAGGTTATCTGAGTCATGCCGCGAACACTGATGTGCTGAAGGATGTTTTCTAAAACCTGGTTGCTTATTTCCTGTTTGATGTAATCAGAGGAGCAGCTGTCTCTGTGGTTTGTTGCCAGTGTTGTCCTGTTTTCATGTTTCATGCAAAAAAAGAAAACCCCAACATCATTTAAATGTAATTGATAAAGACAGCAGATAATCCACTTTTATTTTATATTATTAATTATAGAAATCAACAGAATAAAAGAAGAAATTACATTTTAAACTGAAGTGTGTTTTTGTGCGTGTGTGTGAATTCAAGTGAAAAGGCTCCTTCTTCCCTTTCTAGAAATTGTATTGCCTAAAAACTTCAGAGCCCTGCATTAAAAAAAAGAAATCTTATAACATGCCACCTCAAAAGCTGGTATATCCTCCTTTGTGCTTTCATCTTCCTGCTCTAATGTCTGTTCTTCCTCCACCACATCTGACAGCCACCGACTCTCCTTCCACAATTTTGAGTAAAATCCCTGCTGTCTCATTGTGCCCTGTGCTTGCTCAAGTATGGACACGGATTGAAACTGTAAGGTAGTAAACTCTGCTGTCCACTACAAAGGAAAGCGAATGAAAGTTTTGTTTAGCCATAATATCTGCAAAAAATAATCCTCATCATTTCGAAAAGAAAGTCCCTGTGCTCTGTTAGCCCAACTCACATAAATGTGGCAGCAATAGAAAAAGAAGGTGCAAGATGTCCTATTGAGAGTACAACAGGACTTTTTCATGTTTGTGGCTGTAATGTGACAAAATGTGGGAAAGTTCAAGGGGGCCGAATACTTTTGCAAGCCACCGTATATTGGTTAATCCAACGAGCACTGTCAAACAAATCCTTTTTATGCAAACAGAAACTACGAATTTCAGTCAATCACAATCACTAAAGAGTAAGATATATTGTCAAA